AGTTTTGATGCATGCACATAAGTTAATGTTAATTAGACCTCAAATATTTATGTTTACTCTTGCTACGATTAGTAATAATTATTTAATAAAAATACATACTAAACAATACAATATGTTATACTTTTGCGTTGAATCTTATAGGTATAATAATATTTCAATTTAATATTATTAGTTATTTATACTTAAATGTATGACTAATTTGAAATAACAATAATATTTTACTGGTTAAGAGGTAACCATGACATGAGGCCATGGGTTCAAGCCCTCCAGAGCGCAAACAGTGGAATAATTAATATTGAAGCTACAAGTGGCAGTGTGGGAGGCTGAAACTCGGTGGGAACATCATGAAGTGAGATAGGTGGGCCAGCATGAAGTTGGGGGGCCAGCATGAAGTAATCACTTCGGTGGGATCATGCGGCTGGATAGGTGGGGTCAACTTAGAGTTGAGAGGGTCATCGAGCAATCACTTGGGGATCGACTCCTTGTGCGCGCAGTAGTTTGGTGTATTAGGTACCTGAGAGTCATTGCGTGGCTACCGGAGTCGCGCAGTAGTTGAGTGTATTAGGTACCTGAGAGCCATTGCGTGGCTACCGCGATTTAACTGGAGACAGTTTCTGAGAGGCCGGAGCTATTTCTTCGAGGACTAGTCAGACGCAAGCGTGGAACCTCAGTATCAAAAAGAAAAAAAAAAAATTAAATATGTTAGTGTTACTTGAAAACAAAATTCTTATCTTGAAAACAAAAGAGAGTACAAAATTGCAGCAAAAAGTCACGTTGGCCACTTTTCCTCCCAATTTTCCACCCTCAAATTTTAAATCTGAACTTGAAGAGGGAAAATATATTAAAATCAAATTTTATCCCCCATTAACCCCACCAACAAACTTTCTCCATTTACTTCAACCATAGCATAGAACGTGACCTTCTTTGAATCTCTCTATAGAGAGAGAGAGAGAGAGAGAGAGAGAGAGAGAGAGATCCACCTTTAATAACTGCCACATGATTATAGTGCATTTGCCAGTCTTTCTTTACCTGGTTAGCCCAAAAAGAAAAGGCAAAACACATTTGCTTTTTTCCTGACACACGCCTCTGTTCACTCTTTTGTCCTCATTCTTCTTCAACCAAGAAACCAAAAGACACATATTTCTAATTTACAGCAAAAAAAAAAATAGCTACAAACTTTAAGGACAACAGTCACCTTAAAAGCATTTCAAATTTGAATTGGGGATATAATACAGGATAAAAGCAAACAGCTTTTTCACCTTTCATCGTCAGAGGAGTTAAAAAAAAAAAAAAAAAAAAANNAAAAAAAAAAAACCCTCACTTCTTTGTTCCTCTGCCTACATTGTGTTCGAGGAAATTCCTGAAAGAGAAGGTAGAAAGGATATGAAGCTGTTGCTTTTGCTGCTCGTACCCATTTGGGTTTTCAGTTTTTCTTCGTTTTCTTTTCCGGTCGATGTGAACCCGCTACCACCAGCCGCCGCCGACCCTGTTATTCCGACCGAAAAAGATCCGTTTTTTAAGAATCCCTCTGATCTGATTGCTCGTCCTCCAGGTAATCCCAGGATTTAACTGCACTGTTTTTGTTGTTTTTTTCGTGTTTCAAATTGTGGGCTGTGAGATTTTAAGATGGTTCGGGGGTTGGTTGGCTGGCCCTGTTTGCTTTCTTCTTCAAAGTTTAAAGACTTTGGATAATGTTGCTTTCTCTTACATCGCTCAGCTTTTCACGAATGGTCTTCTGGTTATTAGATGTTGCAGAAGTTAAGGTAGTTCACCACCAGGACATAAACAGGAAAATCCTTGTTGCACTTGTTGTCTCTTCATCTCTTCTCGGGGGAATATTGTTGCTGGTGTCTTGTTTTTCGATCTACAGATTCAAAAAACTGAAGGAAAATAACGAAAAAAAACTTAAAAAATCAGGTTAGCTTTTCCATTTCAAGACAATTCTAACTTTCAAGAGTTCATTTTTCACCAACTTTATATTTCAAATTATTGGATACACAGATCCTGTAAAGGGTATCTCAATTTTGGATAAGTTCGGTTCGTTAAAAATCGGTGGCCGAAAGGGTTCGATTGCTGCAATCGAGTACCATATGTTAGTAGCAGCCACGAATAATTTCGACGAAGCCAATATTCTAGGCGAAGGCGGATTAGGCCGTGTGTATAAGGCACATTTCAATGATCGTTTTCACGCGGCAATTAAGAAATTATATGCTGGTGGGCAAGAAGTGGAAAGAGAATTTCAGGTAATATGAGACATATTTCTGATAAATGCTAACACATATTTTTGTTAGTTCGAGTTTTTCTTAATCAGTCTTGAAATTTCAGAATGAGGTGGAGTCACTGAGTAAAATTCGGCATCAAAATGTAGTTTCTCTATTGGGATATTGCGTGCACGGCGAAGCTCGATTCTTGGTTTATGAATTGATGGAGAATGGGTCTCTTGAACTCCACTTACATGGTAAATGTATTTTACTTCTTTCCATTTTCTTTAATTTAGTTTTATGAAATAATTTGTCTGAAATGATTTTGGATACTTGATCTCAGGACCTGCTCCTGGATTATCATTAACTTGGCATATGAGAATGAAAATTGCTCTCGATGTAGCGAGGTACATAATTTACTCATTATTTTCCTTTTTATGTTTCTTGTTTTTCTTAAATTCTTCAATCTAGCCAAGTTTTCTTAATCACAAACCTCTTTAATTGCTAATCAGAGGATTAGAATACCTGCACGAGCGCTGCAACCCGCCCGTCATCCATCGAGACCTCAAATCCTCTAATATTCTCCTTGATTCCAATTTCAATGCCAAGGTAACAAAAATTTGGCAAAAGAATAGCATTCTAATAATATTATAGTTATTTATCTTAAGAAACAAATTGTTTCGCAGCTTTCTGATTTTGGCCTAGCAATTACCGGAGGAAATAATTCAAACAAGACCGATATCAAGCTTTCTGGAACTTTGGGTTATGTGGCTCCAGAGTACCTCTTAGATGGTTAGGACCACTTTCTTCTCTTCAATTCTATATATATGCCATTAAATAGGTAAACTTTTACAAAGGCCCATAATAAAGAGAATCATACTGCAAAAGTGGAAAGATTCCTTTAAAACAGTATCCATAATTTAGAGTTATCACACTTTGGAAAATTCTGAAGAAAGTCCCCTAAGAGTAAAGATGATTAAAATACACGTTATGTGTATTTTTCTCGGTTTTATTGAAATGGAAGCTCTTGACAATTTACTGCATGGATGAATCAGGCAAGCTTACAGACAAGAGTGATGTGTATGCTTTTGGTGTGATTCTTTTGGAGCTTTTAATGGGAAGAAGGCCGGTTGAGAGAGTAGCTGAAGCTCAGTGCCAATCCATAGTTACGTGGGTAAGCAGACCCAAATTTTTTTTAGTTAAATGTCGATAATTTTAACGTCATTTTTTCCCATACCTAATATCATATCTAACCTACCTTTTTCCGATGACAGGCTATGCCTCAGCTCACGGACAGATCAAAGCTCCCGAGTATTATTGATCCAGCCATAAGAAATACTATGGACTTGAAGCATTTGTATCAAGTATGTTTTCTTAAGCATTCAATTATCCTAAATAAATCTACAGTGCAACACTTACCAAAAAATAGAACAGTTTTTATCTACTGTTAATATTTGACATATATTTTATGTTGGTGTTAATATTTCACATATTATTTTTTTTCTCTATTGAAGGTGGCTGCAATAGCCGTGTTATGTGTACAACCGGAGCCAAGCTACCGACCATTGATAACAGATGTGTTGCACTCCTTTATCCCCCTTGTGCCTGTAGATCTTGGAGGATCCTTAAGGGATTCAACTCATGCCACATGTGCATAGTAACGTCTGCCTTATTCCTCTCCTTGTTTCGAACTCTTCTTGAGACGGGTTATTTTTTTATCGTTTAAAACAAACAAAAAAAAATGTGTTTGTATAAACACCTTCTCGGTTTTAGGAATTTCTATTGCATTGGTTTGCTCGTAACCTCTGGTAAAAAAAATTGACCGGAAAAAAAAAAACAAAAGCAAAGGTTTTTGTTGTTCGATCATGCTTGTAAATGTGTCGTCACTTGTTGTTGATGTATATATATATGTAAGATTTCCTTTGTCCAAAGGCATCCTTGCTAAATGGTAGTGGTTTTTGTCCTGTACATTGATATTGATATCACAATATAAAAAACAAGAATCAATAAGGCAAATGCAGGATAAATGACAATCTTTGAAGCAGAGAAGAATTTTTTTTTTAAGTTATCTTGAGTACTATTATTTAAGCCATGACCAGCCTCGAGAGCGTTATTGATATCCGAACTGACAAAAGCATTCCCCAGGGAACACTTGTCCCCAACGCTGATCGAACTACGAACTGAGTCCTCTAGATCGGCCAAGTATATTATAATAGAATAGCCCAATAGAGAAGTCGAATGCGAAATAGAAAGAACGAACCTCAGGTGAATTTAACCAAGAAAAGCCGGTTCCAAAAGGCCAAATCTGAACTCAAAAGATCAATTATCATACGAAAAATAACGAACATTTGATAAGACGTATACTCGTCTGTCGGCACACTTGTCGTTTATAGAAGTATTCATATGCACGAACATTGTTAGAAGTTCTCATCTGCACAAATTCCCGCCGTAATCATTTTGCATTAAATTTGTACTACACTGTTGGACTACACAAATGAACAATACTCAATTGTACTCACTATAAATATCTTTTGAAATTTTACCACAAGGCAAAGTCAGTAAGAAATTGTACTCACTTTTGGTGGGCAACATACGTTTTCTGTAAAATTTTGACGAGAACAACAGCAGTAGGAGCAACAACAGTAGTAATAAAAAGAGAATTTTACACTCTTTACTTCAAGTTATGATTTTTATTACATTTATATATTCCTTATATTTTTATTTATAAAATTACCTAAACAAATTAAAAATATTTTAATTATACCTAAATGTAACTGTTACCTTTTTTCTAACTCATTAAATGTTAATGAAACCCTTAATTGCAATTAAATATGCACTTTATCTTTCTCCTTCCCCTTTCTCTTCGTCTTCTCTCACCACCCTCTCTCTTTTTCTTCTTTTTGGGCGGCCAAAATTGCAAAAAATTACATAAATGTACAAACTCCACTCACATACATGGCGCTCCCCTTTCTACTTCAATATCCCCAAATTACTAACCAATTTCAAGGCTACTCCACCTCCAGTTTCCCTCCCAATCTCATACACCTGTTTCCCAAGTCGCTGATGACCACCGCGTCCTCCGCCTGCGCCGTCGTTAAAAATTTATTTCTCTAGAGGGAGCAAATTATTATATTATTACAAACTGGGATTGGGCAAAAAAAAAAATGTATTGAGGGTGGGAAATGGTGAGATCTATCGAAATAAGAAAAAAAAAAAACTATCGGGAGTATATGTTCAGTATATTATAAGTATATTATGAGATTTTATAATCTGTTCAGTATATTTTGTGTGAACAGAGATTATATGTTCAGTATATTACAATTTTTTTTTTTTTTTTTTGTATAGGAAATATAAGTAACCTATTATAAAATTTTTATAAACTATAACTATAGGGAGTATATGTTCAATATATTAGAAGTATATTAGAAGATTTTTATAATTTGTTCAGTATATTTTGTGTGTACAGAGAGTATATGATCAGTATATTACAAGATTTTTTGTATAGAAAATATAAGTAACGTGTTATAATATGTTTATAAACTGTATATGTACTTTTATGTATAAAGTAAAAAAAAGACATATTTTTTTGATGAAACACATGTTTTCATTTTAACATATACTAATATATACTACCAGAAACTCAATATATACCACCTGACAGCTCTATTAAATAACCTGCGGGAATTAAGGGAAGAAGGGTTGGAAGGATATGGTAACTTTAATCATTAATATAGATAAATAATGTGTTTTAGGTAGAAACATAATTATTTTTACTTGTATGGTAAAAGTGCAATTAATTTAAAATCATGTAGTAGACATAAAAATTTCCGGGAAATTTTCATCCATGCGGTAAGATAAATAAATATTTTCAATTTTACCTTTATTTGAAAGTATTTACAACAATACCTAAAGAAACTAATTTATTTATTTTATTGTATCAATATCAGTTACAATGTAACGTAACCACTCCAGCTGAAGGTCCCGTGATTTCCGCCATGTCTACCAGGAGAAAAAAGAAAAAAAAAATTGAGTTTATGTTAGTATATTTTGAGTTTATGTTAGTATATATTCCACTCAAGCAGTCGCCAGGTAGTATATTTTGAGTTTATGTTAGTAATATTAAGTGTATGTTGCAATATTATAATTCACGCAGCCGCCAGATGGTATATTTTGAGTTTATGTTAGTACATATTCAAAATATGTGCAATAAAAAACAAGTCTTCCAGATAAAAGCTTCGGATATACTCGGATATACCCAACATATAACCCCAAGGAAAAAAAGAGAATTATTAAACAAATAACCAATGTTTTAAAAACCGTACCGGTCGTCATACCGGTGTAGCGACCGGTATGCGGTATTACCGGTACAACCGGTGTTACCGTCTATTTTACCGGTCTTAATAAATATTAAATTAATTTGTTATTATTATATAAATAATATACAAAACTAACTTTAATTAATACTAAAATAAATTAACATCTAATAACATTATAAACATATTAAAATTAAGTGTAGAAATTTCAATTTATATAAATAAAATAATAAAAATCTATTAATTTTTTTTTAAAAAAAAATGGCATAAACCGGTATTTTGACCGGTATTTTGGCAGGTATTTACCGGTAAAACCGGTATTTTCCGGTACGAAACCGGTATTTTGACCAAAACGGTATTTTGAGTGTAAATGTACCGGTCGGACCACCGGTATCCGGTATTACCGGTAATACCGGCCGGTACGAACCGGTATTTAAAACATGGCAAATAACCATAGAAAAGTTACTTCGGATATACTCGGATATACCCAACATATACCAACTCGGTTTTATAAATATACCTTCGAATTATATACATTTTCAACGCATATGTGCAAAGGTTACAAATTCTTAAACACTCACAAAAGCTTAAAGTTGTTATTATTAAAAGTAAAATCAAATCATACAATAAATATACAAGAAAAAAAGCCCTTATATTATACCGAACATATACTCTATATATACACAACATATACCCGATTAATTCATGGCCCCCACCCACAGTCTCCAATTTCTGGTTTTTTCTTCCATCGTCTCGAACTCTTCTACTTACTCCAAAAAGGTCCACCGATTGAAAAAAGCTGAAACGAAAAGCCCCAATCTCCAGGCTCCAAGTGGTTGGTAATTGAACAGAAAGAAAAATAGAGAAATGGAGAGTTGAACGAAAAAAAAAAGGCCCAATCTCATAATTCATCCAAATCATTCCCTTCCGGAAACAAAATGATCCACATCAGTCTTATCTGAATTAGATTTATGGTCCCCATAAATCCATATATGAACCACATCAAACAAAGACTTGGATCCGGATCGGGCCTGATGCTACTCAACTGCCGGCGATGCTCGATTCGCTGCAAGGGCGTAGTCCTCGGAAACCCACTCCCGTTGTGGCTGCCTGTTCTTCGCCGTGGAGTCCTTGTCGGCAGCTTCAATCGCGCTTGTGGCTCGAAAAAATGAGAAGGGTTTGGAGAATACCTCTCTCGGTGATTGTTGTTGAGGAGATTTGATAAAAATTTGGGAGTATTGGAGGAGTTGGAGGAAAACATGAATTATGCAGAATGAAGGAGACGTGGGGTGGTGGGGAGTTTTTTGGTTGCACTTTTTGGTTGCTATTTTTTAGGTAAGTGTATATTTAATTCCCTTAAATATCTCAATCACATTTAAAAAGATTATCAAACGGTTAATGAGATGATTAGGTATAATTGAAAATATTTCAGGTTGTTTAGGTAATTTTAAAAAACAAAATATAAGATGTGCAAAACTGTTATATATTTTAAGTATAAAAGTATGACATGCAATTTCCTCAAAATTTCCCTAATAAAAATAGTTGAGGCTAACAGCATCAGCCTAGGCCCAAAAAGGTTAAATCATATAGGCCCATCCCCAGATGGACCCTTCTACATTTTGTGGGACTGGCCAGCCACTAGCCCATTGTCAAGTAATAAATTTTAGCTGAAGTACATTGTAGATATTTATAGTATTATTATTGCTGCTGTTGTTATTTTTGTTGTTATTATTATTGTTGTTGTTGTTGTTATCACTATTATTATTATAAAAATCATTACTATATATTTTTATTATAAAATTTGAAATATGTGAGATTTGATGAGAAAAAAAATAAAAATAAAAAATAATAAAAAAAAAATCTACTCATATTTTAGAAGAATGATGTAAGTTACAAAAGTATGTTTGCCTAAACATGAAATATCATTTTCACAATGAGAATCAAACAAACAAATATTTAGCTAGTGTGTCAAGAAAAAAATCACCACCAGAAATCTACAACATAAAAATCATAATCTCATTAAAAATTACACGAACATAGTTTGTTCTTTAGAACAGTCCACTATTGCATAAGAAGTTAACCAAATTACAACTTATATTCTGTAGTGGTCATGAAAAGTTAGAAATTTGTGAGTCTTCCAATCCATTTGGAGATCTGAGAAGAACATCGTAGAGACGACTCTGAGGGACTAGTTTGAATTTCTACATAGATGATCAATCTAAAAATTACATGAACATAGTTTATTTTTTTTTCTGATTAATTAAAAACTATAAAAAATTTTAGATAAATTTGTATCTAAGCATCCTACTAAGTCAATTTGTTCTTTTGCTTCTAGGCTATTTCGATCTATAACCAAACCTTGTGATGATTAAGGGCACTTTGCCTTTATGTATAAACTAATAGCCGTGCTCATGCACAAATATAAATTATAAAGTATTATAGATTATGTGAATATATAACATTAAAATTATAGAAGAGATTGTATAGATCATATTTTATAAATTTTATTAATAATAAATGAACAATATAAATACAAATTATGTAGCTCTACATGAATCTCTATATTGATTGCATAAAATGTAATACATAACATATTTTTTGTTACTTTAAGCAATCACAATTCACAACCAATTAATTACCTAGAGAAATATTTTTACTCGCTGCTGTTATCAGCTATCTTTTGTTTCTTTTTTTGTATCTTTTTGTGTTTTCGTTTGACTTGATATATATCAGATATTTAACTTGTGATTTTTCAGTCCATTTAGAGTCTTTTTATATATATGTTGAGGTTTTGACCTTAACAACCCCTGCCCAAATGGGGTGTTTAAAAAAATTTACCTAGAAAAATATTTTAAAAAAATAATAATTATTATTATTAAATTGTTTAGGGAATATTATATCGTATTAAGTTAATTATATGATTACAAAAATAATATAACTTTTAGAATAAATACCTTTGAAAAAAAATGCAATATAATTTTTTATGATTATGTAATTTACATATAACATTTATGATTATGTAATTTACATATAACATTTAGTGTAAATGGTAATTAGTTAATAGATTATGATTACACTTTTTTTTTTGGTACAAAGAAGGAGGCAAAGCCTAAGAATCTAAGTAGACACCCACCGAGGGTGGGCCACACCGATCAGATCATGCATGAGCCAAACCCCCGCCCCGGGCGGGGGGAAATCCAAACGTTGATAACCACCCGGACCTCTGGCAGCCATGGATGCCCGATAATCCGCCATAAAGTTCGCCTCCCGGTACCCATGGGAAATGGTCACATCCCACGATCGTCCCATCAGCTCCCGGATACCAGCCACCAGGCTTCTCTGCGGCCCATCATAGCCTACGTCATGCACCATTTCAATCACGCTCTTATTATCCACCTCCACAAGAACCCTTCGGCCACCTACCTCCCAGGCCAAAGTCAACCCATGTAGCAGATCCCATAGCTCGGCCCCATCAACTGAGCAGATACCGATATTACATAAAAATCCACTAACCCACCTTCCGTGGTGGTCACGAATCACCCCACCAGCACTTGCCATGCCCGTCGAAGGCACAAAACTACCATCCGTGTTAACCTTCAGCACACCCTCATCCGGACAGGACCATGAAATCCATTGCTCAACACGGCCTCCCGGCACTCCAACCTAGCGACCACTGAGTAAAGCCCCACGAACATTAGAAGCGAAGGAGCAAATATCCCCCATCCTCTGATCCAAAGTAGTTGCAGTACCCTGGAAGATACGTAAATTCCGCCAGCGCCATAGCCTCCAAGCTGTAATCCCAAACATCAGGTCCCAATCATCCACTACCGAATTGAGACTCTCCGACAAGCTCGCAGTCAACCAGTCATGAAGCCCAAGCGAGAAGAAAGTATCCCAAACGTGGCGCGGCAGGACTTCTTTCCACGTGTCAACTGCCTCTGGGCAGTCCCGGAGGGCGTGAAGGGTCGTTTCCGGCGTCTCAGAGCATACTGAGCAGTCGAAAGTCGCTGCCATTTTCCGCCGGAGACGATGGACATTCGTTAGTAGCCTATCCCGAGCAACCAGCCACAAAAAAAGACGTATCCTCTGAGGTCCGCGCCATCACTAGATCATAATTGAAATGTAAAATGTAACGATTTTGCCATTCATAATTGAAATTTGGGAGGAAAAATTTTGTCATCTGCATTAATTAGCCAAAAATTATATAAGTAAAAAAAAAATTGTAACGTCTTTTGAAAGGAAAATTAATGAAGTTTTATTTAATACTTTGCTAGCAATTATATATTTAGATTATAAAATCTATCTTGTTTAGAAAAAATAAATATTGTGTTCAAGTAATCAAATCAATTATGATTGTAAGAGATTATGTTCACTAATATATAAATTTTTACGTAAAAATAAGTGTTATAAATTTTATATGTAAATATTAATATATTATATTTATAAGAACAAATGATAGTATATAATATAATTTTTAATAATTATAAACCATAATTTATGTTCTTTATATATTTTATTTATAATAAAATACTAAACGGGCCGACCCCAAAGACCGTTTAACATCTATTTAAAGGACAACATCCCTTAAATTGCTCTCAAGTTAAAACCCTTTCTGAATTTCTTCTCAGTTTCATCATCGTCGCCCATGGCTGACCCGTTTAGATCGAGGTATTTCACCCATAAACTTCACGACGTATTCGATTATCCATACCGATGATCTTTTCAATTTTATCGATTTTGTTTTTCCCTTTTATTTCATCAATTTTATTGTTTCGATGCGGTTGTTCTGTGATTGAACGCAGAGAAGGATTAAGCACGAGGTCGGCAGCGTATGGTGGCAGCTCGGACGAGGTTCAGGTGCGGATCGATCCGGATTTCGATGAGGAGGTCACCGGTCTTCGAAAGCACGTCCGACGGCTACGTGATGTAACATTTCTTAACTTATCGAATTTTCTTTTGTTCAAGAATTACTGCCATTTTACTTACTGTGATTGATTATTCTATTTTATATAAGATTGTTTAGTTTATATTGAAGTACATCAGGTGCTTGTGCTTGGATGGTGTATTTTTTTCGTTTTGGTATAAATGGTATGAATTTGGGGATGTTGATTTTGAATTTTGTGGTCATTTTTTTCCCCTTCACGATTCAGTTGTTTTAGGAAGAAACAAGATTGTGCAGTGTTCCTTGATAGGCCAAATTTTGTTGGAAGTTGATTGCTAGTACAATTTGTCCAATAATAATTCACCGGATTTGGTTATGTCGTTTAGCATCATGAATCATGAATGGGATATGTGGTTCGCAGTAAGTTGTTGAAACGTTGAGGGATAAATGGAATGATAATGGTTGATATTGCGGCAAATCAGTGCATTAGTGCGCCCATCTTTGTTCTTCTTTGTTGCTAATTCTACACGAGTTATATGCTCCAATCACTACGAGTCTATTAATGTGCTTGCTACCTCTAGGTGGTGAGGAGGATTCCTTCTGCAGTTAGACCATTTTATTTCTTTGACCATCTTTTGGGTTTTCCTTATAACTTTGCTTTGGTCAAGGATAGAAGTGTACCAATTAATTATGTTTCCTTTTGTACGATGCAAGTTATGCAACACATCTTTTAAGCTGTTTCGAAAGTTATCATTTATTGCTTTGTGATAAACTTCATAATTTTGAGAAGTTGTGGCTTTGTATCAAACAATATATATTGTTTATATTGTTCCTACTTTATGCAGTCTCAGATTTGCCCTTGTGACATTGCAGGTAGCTCAAGAAATTGAGACAGAAGCAAAGTATCAAAATGATTTCCTCAATCAGCTGGTATGCCATAAATTTCTGAACTTAGAATTTGGTGGACCTTCATTCTTTAATCTTTACAGTGGAAAATTAATTGATGCGTAACTTTAGTAATTGCTCGATGTTTCTTTCTTTGTTTTTCCCTGAAACAAACAGAGTGAATGGGAAGTTGATGAGGGTGTTCACGTTATAACTTGTCATCTCACTAATGGTGTTTGTGGCATTTGTTGAACTTGTTTAGATCTCCACTTTGGTTGTGAAATTTATTTCTGGAAGAGAGTGCTTCGATCTGTCATATTGTTTTCTTGCTTCATTTTGTCAAACAGAATAGTATGTTCTTGAAATATCTGGTGTGACCGTGAGGCTTATATTGTTGGATTAGGTTATTAGTGGGACTGAACTATCACGAGTCTAATTCCTTTTTTTTCCCTGGCCTTCGAAATAAATGAGAATTAATTACCTTGTGCTGTTGCTTTTATTTGTTACAGCAAATGACATTGATCAAAGCTCAGGCAGGAGTGAAAAACAACATGAGGAGACTGAACAAGAGTATCATCTGGGAAGGCTCTAGCCATGTCATGCACATTGTGCTTTTCGGGCTGCTGTTGTTCTTTGTCGTGTACTTGTGGTCCAAATTTGCCAAATGATTAGAGGATATAGCCGTAATATGTTGTTATTGAGGGTCGTGAAAGTCCTTATCTGATGCTTGTAAATAACTTCATTCTTGGCAAAGTAGAAACTGCTTTGAAGTTCGACCTTCTTTCCCCTTATTACTATAAATTAGGATTGTTAAGATTGTGCATTTTACATATACCTGGATATTTTTTTCCCCGAAATTCTTTGGCAAGGTTTACGTAGATTCTACTGCTTGGGTACAGGTTTTAGTTTTAGCGCATTTTTTCTTGAAGGTCTTACGTGCGCTATCTATGCTACATGTATCGACTTTATTCATATGATATTTCTATTACTAAGATCAACAGAGATCAGAGATTTATAACCGAAATACTGTGTATAGAAAGACTTACCTGCTTTACATACCTTTTTTTACATAGATCATTAATATTATGCTTCCTTTTTTGTTTTTAACCTGCTTAACATTTTGAATCTTTCCTTGTTGGGAAAGACTTACCTTGTCACCTTGGTTGTATGGTTTACAGCTTAATAATGAAGCAGGGTTCATTCTATGCCACCCTTAGAGCATTTTAACAATAAATCCATTAAATCGTCTTTTACATTTCCCACCGCGCCGTGCCACATTATCCAAAATCTCATTCTTACTAATTCACATATAAACCTCCAATAACAATAATACCCTTTGTGGTACTGCCATTGAAACCTCGAGTCATCTCTTTTTCGAGTGCTCGTTTAGCTCGGAGATTTGGGGTGTCATTCGTATATGGATTAGCCTCCGTCACACGCCAACAACAATCAAAGGAGCCTTAAAGTGGACCAAAAAAGATGGAAAAGGTACGACATGGAGAGCCAAATTGAAAAAAGCGGCGCTAGCGGCTACTGTATACTTTATATGGAATGCCCGGAATCGCTTGATCTTTGAAGGCGAAAACCAACCTCCAAGTCTCGTGATTCGCAAGGTAAAAACTCATGTCTATCGTACTATATTTGCCACCTACCCGAGAGTGTTTGCCGAATTTGAAAGTCGATGCCTTGGTCTTGATGTGTAAAATGTGATGTGCTTGGATTGATTGAGGATAAGTGCCTATGCACTTGGGCCATTTTGATGGATTTTATCGGGTTTCTACTTTGAGTGAGCTTCCGGTTTGTGGGTAAGCCCTCGGTTTTGGTATTTTCGAGTGAGGAGCCGACGTGTGGCTACCCGCTTCGACTTGAAAGTCGTCTCAGTTGTATGAATTCCAGTTTTAATCAATACAAATTATTTCACGATAAAAAAAAAACAATAATACCCATAAACCTTTTTTTTTATGATTTCACATGTTTCCACTTAATATTATCTCTTTTATTTTTATTAATATTTTTACATTATAATTCTATTTTTTGTATTTTAATTTTTTATTTTATTTATTGAGATTTATGTAAGGTTTAAAAACGTAAATCTTGTTTACATTTGTAAACTTTGAATCTCTTTTTTTTAATAGTTCAACCTCTGAAAGTGAGGTTTATAAACCTCAACAATACCACTTAGTAATTAAAATTTTTTTTGCCAATAATAACTCTCATTAATGAGAATAGAGATGGATGTTTTAAAAAAAGATGAAGAGTAAATATGAAAAGACGTAATATATTTATTAACTAGATGAAAGTCTTAATAATAAAAAAATATGTACAAAAGTTTCAAAACGTCATTTATTTAGTTAATTGTTGATAAAACCAAAATGATATATATATATATTTTTTTTTTAAAAGAAGTAGTATTAAAGATGTCTTTATGGGTGGCACCCTCATCCATTAGATGAGAGACAAGTGTCCTTCTTTTTGTAAAAATAAAAAATTAATTAACTTTTTTTTTTACAACATAACATATGGGACACTTGTCCCTCATCCAATGGATGAGGTGCCACTCTTAAAGGGTGGCTTGGAATGAACCATGAAGCAGACAAATAGAGCAGATCCCATTGTAATTATAGAAATCTTCGACAATTTGACAAATTCTGCAAATGTTATACTAAAGTGTGAACAACTTTTTCGAAATAAAATCTAAAATGGAATTATGAAAATCTAATTTTTCATCCTGACAATGGAATTAGTTAGTTCAATTGTTTTTTCCATTTTTAAAAGCAAACTATACCCAATCTGCAGTCACTTATTAACTCTTCATTGCCAATCACTTTTTATAATCTTCTACTATCATTCACAACATCTAAAAACAAAAGCTTCTGCAAACATCCTTTAGAGTCTGAAGTACTAAAAGTCACACAAAAGAGGCCTCCTTTGAAATCTAAAGTCTTTATATTGTCACTTCCACCTATTCTCGAGCTCGATTAATTTCCCTAATGTTATTTTTTGTTCTCTCTGGTTTCTAAATTATAAGAGAACCTGGTTGAGGCTGATGGATCCTCTTCTTTCCACCTCAGATACTGAGAGAAAAAGTTCGGCCAAAGCAAATCTTCACGAACTCTGCACTAAAGCACGCTGGAAAAAGCCCGATTTCCAATGCTGCAACGAGGAAGGCCCTGATCATCAGAAATTGTAAGTCTAACATAAAGTTAAACTTGTATGATCTGTTTCAAATTAAATTCTCTATCCTACAACCAATCATATGTTTCTAAATAAACACTCGAATATTTTCATCTCCAACAAATATGCCACGGAATACACTGCTGCTTCAAATTATCTCACTTCACAAACAATTTGAAAAAAAAAAAAGAATGAAAGAAAATGAGGGTGAAAATAGCTTCAACAGTATCGACTCATGTTTTGGATTATAACAGATTCAAGATTTTGGGCAGGTTCACCTTTAAGGTTCTCGTTAGGGTTCAAGAGGAACACACAACATTGGAGTGTTATGGGAATCCACGAGCAAATAAAAAGGCTGCGGCGAATGATGCAGCTGAAGGTGCACTCTGGTGCTTGAAACACATGGGTTATGAGCTAAAGAAACAACAAAAAAGCCAAAATATCTCTGGTTTCAATATATAGAAAATAAATTGTATTTTCTTAGCTCATGCTTAATTCGTATAAGGCGTTTTCATTTGTTATATAAGACTCGAACAGTGAAAAGATTACTCAATATGCTAAACATGGAGAATAATGAATTCATTTATATAACGAGCTAAAATAAGAAGTTCGGTCTTTGCGATCATGCTATGTCACATGTAATCGACATTAGAAGTCAAATTAGACTGATCATTATGTAATAGGAAAAAAGAGTTGGTGAGTAGAGACAACATTTAAAGGGATATCATTTCTGGGATTTAAGCAAAAGGCAGGAAAACATTATACTCCTGCTTCTCCAAAGGAGAGGCTCGTTTTTCATTGGCGATGCCCCAAAAAGATGGTCATTTTACCATATTTAGTACGGAAATATTTGCACCTTTCATGTGTACCCCTAAGCTGTTTACTCAATTGCACTCTTGGAGATAAAGCATCGCGGAAAACAAGTAAAAATGTAATTGTAAATATGGTTAAAAAAGGAAACGTGAACTTTTAACTCTAATACTTTCATAACCTTTGTGAAATGACCGTAAATCTATTTTTTAGCAACAGAATGATTATTAATTAAAACATGTGCATGATTACTAAGGCGGCGATATTCTCCATGCCTACAAACATGAAACCGAAAATTTCAAGGATAAAATTTGAGAGGAACAATAATATTAGAAACAATTTTCACATACTTACTGCACAGAAATGTTACTGAAAAAAAATCAAGCACATTGTGTATAAAGATATCATAGACAATAATGCTAGCTTATTGTGTAACCTTTCGAGCTTCAAACTTCCCCTTTGAATTTTAGCTCCGCTACTATGCTACAAAGCATGAAGAAATCATGACACGAGTATTACTTGGTAAAAGGCTTAACTAATATAAAACTTGTGTCTTTCCTTCAAAATAAGAGAAGGTTACAATAGGGATACTTTGTACTCTCAGGTTTTCTTTTGTAGCTAGGTGTCGTGCCATGCATTATAATCTTCTCATGCATTACATTGAGCTCAAGCTATACTACGTGCAGATCGCGAATTTGCCATTTTTAGCCTTTTGAATGACTAACAAGGACAAATAGATTTGAAGTTGAAGACAAACTTTAACAATCAGTTGGGGTTCTGCAATATAGTAAAGAATGATAATTCATTTACAATAACTATTCAGCTACTCTGACTCTGACCGAGGGCCTCGCTCACGAGTCGTCATGATTTCATTTAGCATTTGCAGTCATATAAATGGAGATCAGAACAAAGTAATAATGGGTTATGTATCATGCTATTCTGTTAAATTCAAGAAACCAATCAAGTGAAAAATCATTCAGAGCTGAAAAAAGGGAGAGATGAAGGGCTCGTCGAGTTGAACCCCCGGAAGCGTCTATCATGTGATTTTATGAAAGTGGACTTCAGTACAGAAAGTTCAGTATAAGAATATATCTGTGGTTCAGGCATATCATCGAACACATATTACGCAATTCAAACGCAAACCAATACTTAATAATTTCACGTCTGAATTGATATAATGATTTGAAAGGCAATAGCCAGTAAACCCCCACACAAACGAATGAACAGTTAAAGCGAAAACATATAAAGGCGGTGATGATATAAAGTGGGCCCACCTTTAAACTCGACTCTGGCCATGCTCATCTTCTTCGGCAGCAAGATCACAGAGCGACCTCCGGCGAGAGTACCGGCACGGCCATTATTCAGCAGTTTCTTTACTAGTGATAAACTAATGTAATTCTTTGTTTCCAGCTTGTTGTTTGTCTTTCCGTGATATATTAGAGAAAATAAAAAAATTGAGAAAATAATAAGGTCGCGTGTGATGGTTCTTATTATTTTTACCATTAGATACACAGAGATTATGTTGTGTGGATAATTTCCGGTGACCAATATTAGATACACGTAGAGATTATGTTGTGTGGATAATCTCCGATAACTGACGAAATCATTCCGTGAATGACTATATAGTAGTTCCCAAAAATTTGCAACCTTTACTTTTATCATTTCAGCTTGTTGGCTCTCGGTCTATATTTGTGTACATTTGCCGCTATAAAATCTCCTGAAAAAAATTATCATTTCTATATTTTTCCAATCTAAATAACATTTTGTATTGGATCGACTAGCTAATTTAAGTTCTCGTCACGTGGATTGGCCAAGACCACCTGTGCCGGCGATTGTGGTTCGACAACTTCCGGCAAGCCGACTTCAATATCTCTACCGGCACCGTCGACAGCAAAAGTTCCGCCTTTGAGCGAAATCAAAGCTGCTTTAATGTCTCTGTGTTTTCCCCACAAGAACGAGTATAATCCCACGATGATCAAACTCATGCCCAACAAGCTGCAATTAACAAATTAACATTCATTCTGCATCTAAGTCCAAATATTTATATTTGTATATATAACTGCTATAAAATGTTTTTATGGTAATTTCCATAACGAGGGAGATTCTACGGTCCCATTATGAAATTCTGTCGGGGTTTATAATCGTTAGATTAACTATCCACGACGGTTAGATGATGATCAACGGTTACAATTCCCGACGGTATGGTTCCGTAATGGGACTGTAACATTTCCCTACATAATTGATATATATGTGTTTGTGTTGTTTGTTTTAGGTACCTTCCAACAGAGATTTGTTCACCAAGGAAAATGGCTTCAGCAATTGCAATTAAGATGATGGACAATGGGTTGAACATTGAAGGATATGTGGGCCCTCTTTGTATGATGGCCCACGAGATCAAACAAAAGGATGCTGCCGTGGCAAATACCCCCTATTATAGAAATAGTTGTACAAATTTCAATTCCAAATATGTAGCATACTAACTTAATTAATAATTTAGTTAATTAAGATAATTAATTAATTAGTTAATTAATTAGACTACTGTATAATCAAGAGAATTAATTAGTTAGTTAATTAATTACTTTATTACCGAGTAGACAATGGTGACAAGCTCGAGGTTGAAACCCAATTTCCAGGCCTTTGGGTCCCTGTTCATGCAGAGCCCAATCAAGGCGGTTTGGGCCGAAGCTATGACACACGTCAGCATATTTGCCCAGTATCTATATGGAAATACTTTGAATAGCTTCACCTATAATAATAAAATACAATAAAAACATTATTTCTTAGCCCTAACAAGAGATTTTAGTAGTTAAATGCACAAGGTTGTTTGACAAGCTAAGACAATTATACTTTAAAACTGAAACGATTGACTCGTCGTGTAACAATTAGGCCGTCTCACATAAGAATTTGTGAATTCTTCGATACCTGTAGAACGAACCAGATGCCATAGGACAAGCAGCTCGCGACTAATGCGATCGAACCACGTGTCATATTTTTCTCGGTCCTGATCAAGATTGTTGACTCGTGTTTAAAATAACTATCAAGATGTATTAATGATTTGCCCTTATAGAGAGTAATTGTCAATGCCCCTGCAAGGCATAGCATTGCCCCTATAGTCTTTATCTTGCCAGCCATTGTGTGAAGACCCAATCTCTCCACCCTAATTCACAAATGAATAGCCTAATTAATCATAATTAATCAAGATTTAGAAATAATAATGCTGGTATAAGTGATTAAACATATGTGAAATGTAAAGGGAGATGTTACAATCCCGTTATGGAACCATTTCGTCAGGGTTTGTAACTGTTAAATCAACTATCCCCGACGATTACATGATGATCTAACGGTTACAAATCCCAATGGAATGGTTCCGTAATTGGACCGTATAGCATTTCCCGAATGTAAATTTAAATTACATTATTCGTACCTAAGAATTATCGCAAAAATGAAAGTAATAACAGGAATAAGGTTTAGAAAGTTGGTAGCATATGTAGCACTCGTGTCCTTTAGACCATAGTAGAATAACCCCATAGCCATTGATATCCTGAATTTGTATATTTATCAATGTGAATTGTCAGAAATAAATAAATATATGTAACTTGAAATCCACCATATAAATCAGTCAACAATTTATTTATTTATTTAAAAAAGAAAACTTAGAAATGCAAAAAAAATATTATTTACCCAGTTAATGCCACCATGAAAAGCCAGAAGATAGCTGCAAAGGTAAGCTTCTTCAGGGCACCCCTACATAATTAGAGTCAAAAATTAATTATATGAATCTCCCAAAAAAAAAAGAGACCCAATTATTCAAATAAATATAATTTAGAAGTAACATAATTGGATACATAAATACGAGAAATGCTACGGTCTCGTTACGGTACCATCCCGTCGAGTGTTTTAACCGTTGAATCAATATCTTATCTAACTAAATGTGTATCCAACGGTTAAACCACCCGACGAGATGGTACCGTAACGAGGCTGTAGTATTTCTCCATAAATACTTGGAAAAACTAACCTTTCAAAGTAAAGAGCAAAGGGGAGTATAAATAGAGCAGCAATAACATGGCGATAAGTCATGAGAGCAAAAATAAACGTCCCCCGGCTGATTATAACCCTGGAGAGTATTAGCAGCCCTGCAGTTATCACTTGTACCGCGAGCATCCCGAGCGGTACTCTTGCATTCATTAGCCATTTCTTCACACCCATGCCTTAAATCTATAAAGTGTAGAAACCTATAAGCTAATTAAACTATCGAACTGAGGATACGACACTCCGATAAGGTCGTGATCAAGCCAAACACCTACGATTGTACCGGAAAGAAAAAAAATCTATCGAACTGATGTTAGAACCTACTATTTATAGTACAAGAACACGGAGATTTCACGTTATGGTCAACACAAAAGATATATAATAATAAAATATGAAGTAATGCTCATCTATAATTAATTTAGAACAAATGGTTACTTTAGGGTCAACTTGCAATGACTAGCTAGTGACAACCAAGTACAGGGGAATATACCTTGTTTTTTAATTTTAATATGTAACTGTTTTACTTGATTAATATTATTTTGTAAATTTATGTGCCTAGTTTTGGTTTGATGGAATAAAAAAAACCTATATATGTGAATTGGCATGTTAAAGAGTAATAATTTGTATTGTACAGTTGTACTTTAGGTTTGACTTACACATGTGTGTGTGTCCATGTGCATGCACTCCTAGTCTCCTACATAAACATATGAAGTACATATCCATCATATTTATTGTAAGTTAAATATATACATAACATTAATCACGATTTACTTCAAACCGGATCATTTAAGTACTGGATGGATCGAGAACTAATTTATTGACCGGTCCGATTAGCTTGAATAAAATATTTGCTAGTGATGAACATGTCAACACCAGTTGGTTGGACTAGTTGCATCGACACAATTTTTTAATGAAATTTTATTACATTTAAAATTATTTTTTATTAAAAATACAAATACATATTTAAATAAAATAGAGATTTATGAATTATTTATCAATTAGTTTAAATATTTGAAAATTTAAATTGTTCCGATATTTAATTAATATATTTTATATAAATTCATAAAAAAGTACTATATATATATATATCGAAATATTAATAAATTAAGTTATGCTCCAACCAATAAATCATTGAATAAATTACTTGATCGGTTCGATTAAGGTCCAATTCTAAGAACCATGGTTTTACAATACATTAATAAAAGTTTTAATACATATTATTTTATTAACATAAATGTTTATAAAATGATATGTAAATATTCATGAATCATTGAACATGTTGTCATAGAAGTATTCGCAATATAGTTTCATTTTTCGTAAGTAGAAGCCTTAAAATAGAATCTCAAATACAGATTTATAAGGTGAATAAGAAATTAATTCTAAATTGAAATGTGGAGAAGTTAGGTTTATATAACTCAATATTGAGGTTAAGTAATTTAAAGATTATGAGATTCATAAAATGTCTGGTCTTTAACAAATGTTAGGGCAAGCCGAACTATAATCATGCACTATGCATGCTAGAACTATAATAAAGTTTGTTGGAGGACAAATATGATAAAAGCGAACATAATTTGGAGTAGGATCAGCGTATATGGGCTCGTGCGTTCGAGCGAACGCATGACTCCTCGTGACCTGAATGCACTTACTCGTGTCGAAAAGATTCTAACTCAACTTTGGACGACCACACACATCCTGTATGGTGTCTTTTGACACAAAGTACCTCTAGAGATGTAAATACTCATGAACGTGAAAACATATATACATTATATTTATTTAATTTTTTTTTTATTTTTTGTTTTTTGCAATTTACAATGTACATTAATTATTCTTTTAAGAGTTTTGAGACGTTAAGTGTAAATCATGAGTTACAATAAGACTGTACTCAAATCCATTTTGGAGAACACACATTTACGTGTCTCGACTTAAATTCTTTCATTCTATTTTCCTTCAGATTTGAGTTAATTTATTGACATTCACAATCATAAACACTATAGTAACACTGTAATACAAATTTTTTTACATAGTGTTTGGTTCGCGAAACGAAGGGAAGGGAAAGGGAGGTGAAAGAAATTTTTAATTTTCTGTTGTTTGGTTCAATTTTTTTTGTAGGAAGGAGGTTATGATTTTCCTTTTTCAAATCCCCCTCCCAAGGAAAAAGCTCCAAGTGGGGGAAGATGGAGGAGAGTAAAAATTTTTAACAACAAAATTATTCTTTTGACCTTATTATATGAATTTTTTTTTTTTTTTTTACATCATTTGAAGTATAATTATTATTTTTACAATATTTTATTTCTATTTTATTTTTCTAAGGGGTTGTTTGGTTTGAGGGATTTGGAGGGGAGGGGAGGGGAGGGGAGGGAGAATTTTAATTTTCCCTCGTTTGGTTGGAAAATTAGGAGGGGAGGGAGAGGAAAATTTTAAGTGATTTTCCCTCCCCTCCCCCACTTTTTCTCCCCTCCAAAATTGGAGGGATTTGGAGGGGAAGTGATTTATAATGATATGAAATTACCTTTTAGTCCTTACTTTCAATTGTTTTTAATATTTTTTTTTTATTTCATTAAGGGTAAATTCGTCATTTTAGTTTATTTTCTCTTCATCAACCAAACAAGGTTTACCATTTTCCCTCCCTTCCCCTCCTAAA